AGAGTCTAGTTAATTTCTTGCATTTAATTCAGATTTGCTTCTGGAGTATTAATTTCTTTACTATCTGCAGTAAAAACTCTCAAGCAAATTTTAGAGTATATAATTCTTAAATACAAAATTTCCTAATAGTTATCATCAAAACATAGAGATATTATTAAGAACCAATCTGTGTTCTAACAATAGGCTCAAGTTTCTTCTGGCCCACTATTTTTAAGGATGCTTATGAGACTTATCACACTTGTAAAAAGTGTCAGATAGTCGGTACAACCATCACTCGTAAGAGTGAAATGCCTCATCAACCGATGTTTTTCTGTGAGGTGTTTGATGTATGAGGAATTAACTTTATGGGTCCTTTCCTTGTATCTTTCTATTTTGTTTATATTTTACTTACTGTTGATTATGTTTCAAAGTGGGTGAAAGTTATCCCCACTAAGACTAATGATTTTAGAGTTGTTGCAAATTTTATTAGGTCAAATATTGTTTTGCAGGTTTGGAATACCCCAATCCATCATTAGTGACCAAGGCACTCATTTCTGTAGTCGCACCATAGAGGCTTTGCTACAAAAGTACGGTGTTACGCATAGGGTTTTTATTGCATATCACCCCCAAATTAATGGTCTCTACTGCATATCACCCCCAAACTAATGGGCAAGCTGAAATCTCAAACAAGTAAATTAAATAGATTCTGGAAAAAATGGTGTAGCCAAATAGGAAAAGACTCGAGCCGCCGTCTGGAAGAGGCACTTTGGGATCAAAGAAAGGCTTCCAAAACACCGATAGGAATGTCTCCATATCGAATTTTGTTTGGTAAGGCATGTCACCTACCTATAAAAATTGAGCCCCGTGCTTATTGGGTGGTCAAAAGGTGTAATTTGGAAATGCAAAAATCAAGTATGGAAAGAAAACTCCAATTACAACAGCTTGAAGAGATTAGGCTAAAAGCCTATAAAAACTCTAAAATTTATAAAGATAAAACTAAACACTTCCATGATAAGATGATTTATGGGAAGGAACTCTCTGTTGACCAAAAAGTTTTACTGCTTAACTCCTGCCTAAAAGTTATGGCTGGGAAACTTCGATCCAAGTGGATTGGCCTTTTTGTTGTTACTAATGTTTTACCTCATGGTGCAGTAGAAATAAAAAGTGCGAGTACATAAAAAGTTTTCAAAGTCAATGGACACTGCTTGAAGCTATTCCATGAAAGTTATGTGCTTGAAGATGAAACCATAGAAGAACTTTATTTAGAAAAGCCCACTTACACTATAGTTTGATCAATGAATTCTTTTTCCTGCCATCCTTATTTTATACTTATGTTCTTTTATTAAGGACAACGTGTGTGGGAGGAAATCATTTATTTGTGTGTTTTTTTGTTTTCCATATACTTACTTTATTACTTATTTTATAAAAAAAATGTTACAAATGCATGATGTTTCTTTGGTTTTTGGGTTACAATTGTGATTATTTTCTTAGTTGTATTGACTAAAAGCTCATGGTGTGATATGAGTGATTTGTTGTGCATTCTTAATATGTTAAGTAGGACTAAATTCTAAATTGTGCATCATTTATGGTAGATAATTAACTTTTGTGATATTTTGAGTCTAATAATGTATAACATTAAAAAAAATTCATATATTTCTTTCTTGTGTGATTTCACTCATGTCTGTTATTCCTAGGATTAATATTTTAGGTTATAAAATTAAATAAATTTTTTCAATCCATCTAAATTTACACCCGCTTTAAATTTAACGGGAGTAATAGAAATTTCATTATAATAATATTTTAAACTTACATTCGTTTTAAAAAAAAAGTGTCTATTGTCACGTGCTAATAATTAAAATGACACTTTATTTACAAAATTGTCATCGTGTTTCTTTATTTACACCCGTTTTTAGTATAACGGGTGTAAACTTTAAAATTATATTATTCTTTTTGCACCAGTGGGTGTAGTATAAACTATACCAATAAAAATCACAAGAAATAAGTAAGTTTAAATCGTCTCCAAATGGATTATTTTAACTCCTACAATACTAAAGAAATCATACTTGTTATTAGAAAGAGAAAATTATATAACGTAATTAAGGGATATGCATAGCGTATTGAATTGGTTATGCAAATAATCATAAAAGTTCATAAAATAAAATAACGTATTGGAAATTATAATGAGAGAAACAATTAAGCACCCCACCCCAATTTGAATCATATTTCCTTTTTTATGTAGTTAATCCTTGCTTGAACTTGTAATTATTCTTAATATGTCCCAACTGTTTTACAAAATAATTGCACGCAATACCTCGTAGCGTAAATTGTATCGCTTGATTGTAATCCCTCAATGTCTTGGGCGAAGTCGCATTCAACAAAAGATTGAACGAATGTAAAATACATATTTCACAACTGAGTATACCATATATATAATAATATAAATAACCTCCCAGTAGTCTTTAAACCTAATCATGTTGTCTACAATTAGTTCTTAAACACAATCTAAATTAATTCACCCAAATTCATAAATAATTAAACATGGAAAATAAGTGAATAACATAAGCAATATGATTGTTACAAAGAGAAGATTTAAACGGCTCACATGCTTCACACAAATTAGAGAAAATTTATACAAGTAGACTTAATTTAGGGAAAATAGTCATTCATTCATGGCAAAATAAACATTAGAACTAATGAGAGAAGAAACTTTTGATGATTCATTGCACCCCCTGTTGCAAAATATGCATTCTCTAGAATAAAATTTGGAACCCTGACAACTAAACATGTTTTAAAAATTATAAAAAGAATTATATTTTTGTAAAATTGTGTTGCACTGCCCTAATGTCACACAATGATTTAGCGATGTTGATTATGTTGATGATGTGTCTACTCGGTAATCTTTAAACATAAGTGTTGTATGTCCTACACGACACAATATTTCCAAGAACTTTGTGTTGCTTATTTTTGCTTCACAGATTCTAGTCAACCATGCTCTTTTTTCTTTTTTTCTTCTAGTTCTTGTATCAAAGTATTCTTCATTCTTGTAATGATAACTTATATGATAAAACACCACAAAATTTGCATGGTTAAAATGACTTTTGCACAGATCTATCGTTTCCAAAATTCTTTAGAATCTTTATTAAACTTACAAAAAATGTAAATAATTAAGAGAAAAAATACTTAAAACGAATGAAAATTAATTTAAAAGACACGTAATGACAAATTATCTTTGTGTATGTCAAAAATACATTCTTAAATAGATTTATCACTAAAATAGTTTATGTGAAAGAACCATTTGACTTCAAGGATATTAAATATCCTCTATATGTTAATAAATTAAAGATACCTCTTTATTGTTACAAATAAGCTCCTAAATAATGGTATAAATGTTGGTATATGGGGTTGAATGAACACAATTCTTATTAGGAAACAATCTAAGAATGAAATTTTGATAGTGCAAATCTATATGAATTATATTATGTTTGAATATTCATGAAGATTTTAGGATCTAATTCAAGATTATTTTTAGATGCATGTATCCCCAACCTTCTTCAAACTCTTCAAATTACATTAACACTGATCATAAGTACATGTTGTACTATCTATTTAGAGGTGAAAAGATGAATGTACTATGACCAACAACTTTAGAAGTTTGATAGAATTCATCTCTAAAGAGTTAAAGATTGCTTGCCTGAAGAAAACTGAAAAGGACTTCCATTTCTAATATAGTTGAATCTTTGTTATTGAAGATTCCTCCTGAATATAATGTGTTGTATCTTCGTACAAACTACTCTCACCATTCTCCTTTATAAAAATTGTCTTCATGTATCTCCTACTTTTAACATTGTCTTTAAAAATATATATTTTTAAAATTATTTAGGTATTAATATAAACAATTTATTACCGCTAAAAATTGAACTCCTTGACTTATCCATTTAAATTTATTTAATATGAATATTTTTAATTCAAGAAGATTACACGAGATAAAATAATGGTTTCCAATGTGTGATTAATTTGAGTGGTAAACAACTAGAAAGATAGTGTTAGAGGCACTTACAACAATTAAAAACAAATGATAACAAAAAAACAGTAAATTAACATAAATTTAAATTTAAGTTAAAAAAAACAGAAATTTAAAAAATAAAAAGAGCCAACTTTTTTTAATTAAAAATAAAAATAAAAATTTTCAGATATAAAAAAATAAATAAATAAGTATCATAAGAAAAGGACATGTGCAGAAAATTGGAATGGCCTGAACGTCACGCTTCCTCCACTCATAAAAATATTACATAATTATTACACCAAAAAGATCAACTTGATGTTCCTCTTTGAATATGCGGTTATAATAATAATCATAATCATAAAAAATTAATTTTTTTAGTTATTCTCAATCAAATAAATAAATCATTTCAATTTAATTTTCCCAGTATCAGAGACAAAATTGTACTGTGTAACATCATTAACAATAAAATATTAAAGTTGTTTTTTATTCCTTTTCGATCAAAAAAGTCAATAACCTTTGGTATTTATCTTCAACTTGCAACTTGCTTAGGGTTTGCAGTTCTATTTTCTCACCTGTTTCTTCTTCTGGGTATTGCTTAAACCTGTAAAAAATTCATTTTTTTCTTATAGTTCTCATCAAAATCACTTTTTTTTTATCAAGTTTTTAAAGCTTATTTTTTTTCAATTTCATGGTGTTTAGCTTTGTTTTTACAAGGTGGGCCTTTTTATTTTTTATCAAAATTAAATTTTTAATTTTTTTTTTAAACTTTTAGTTTCAAAGTTTTGTCCTTTATTTCTATTGTTTGTACGGATTTTTGTTGTTGTTTTGTCTTAGCTCATGTTTCTTGAATTTATGGTTAGTTCAGAATTTATTAGCCTTTGTCTTCTGTAATTCCTGTTTTTGTGTATTCTGTTGTGGGTTTGACTAAATTTGTGTGCTTTGTGTTAATAGATTTATTCAAGGGCTAGTTGGATTTTAAGGTTTGTGGAGAAGAGATAAGATAAGAAGATGGTTATTGATGGGCAGTAGGGGAAGAGCTGCTGAGGATACTAACAAGATTGCCAACGGGATGCCGAGCTACGCGCCTCCATTGCCGCCGCCTAATTCCATGTAAATTTTATGAGGATTTTAGTTTATCTTACTTTTGATTGATCTTGCTATAGGTTTTTGGGGTCTGTTTTTTGTTTAAAGTTCTTTTTATGTGCTTAGTCATAGTCGTCATAAGTTTTTGAAGTCTCTGTGTAGATTAGTCACAACTTAACTGTAACAAAACAAATAGAGGCCTATTTAGCCACGGTATAGTTCGCTCTGCATACCCTCAAAGACGGCCTTGTGGATAGTCAATAATGCTATACCATAGTGTATCTCCTATATATAAGTTGTAGAAGTTGTGCATAGGAAAGTTTGAATGGTGGAAATGATAAAAATATGTCGTGTTTTAACCTTATTGTTTATTAGTTGTTTAGAATTCCTAATTTTAGAGCATAGATGAACAAGGTTTTAAATTGGGTAGTAACTAGTAACACATCTTGATATTGCTGAGAATTGCAGTCAAATACTACTGATGATTTTTTGAGAGAACTTAAATGTTGTTGTAGCACATATCACAGTCGTAGATCTGAGTTTAAAACCATGTGTATGTTTGGTTTCACGGTTGGAGCACTTAAAATTGATTTTGGAAGCATAAAATTGATTCTACTTGAAGTTAGAATTTGTAGCTTTTGAGTTTAAACGTGGTTTTTACACTGAAATTAACTGTTCAACTCACTTTTGCAAAAAAAAATTCAAACATAAATCACTTTACCTTCAAGTCACTTTTAGACAGAATCAATTTTACATAATTACTTCACTCAGAATCAATTTTTTCAACGCAAAACTAACCACACGTGAAGATGAAACCTCCTGTTTGCTTCATGTTACACTACCGGTTCTAAACAACCATATAAGCTCTTTTCTTTTTGTGGCTTTACTTTTTTGTGTTCATAATTTCTTGTGCATTTGATATTTAGCTTCGAAAAATGGATTTCATCATTGACTGCATTAATTTTCAATTTTGCTTAGACAATTGGATATGCATATATATACTTTTTAACATTTTGTCATGCTTTTGATTTTTTAGGGGCATGGAAGGAACTAATATTCATCCTTCTCGAATTTCTGATTTTGGAGCCCTTGAACAATCTCTAGGATTTCGTGTCGAGGATGCCATGAATCTCAGCAGAAGTACGTTGCTCATGTTTTGATCACCAACAGTTATACCCTTCTCGATGGAACCTCATAAATCCTCGATTAACCTATTTAATTGAATATCGTCTTTCAGATCCAGTGTTTAATCAAATGAAAGCAAATAGCCAAGCTTTAGGTGCAGATATTCAATTTGGTGCTCTAAGTAAGGTAAAATTGTATTCCGATTATCAATAAATAAGTTTCAAAAACATAACGAATTTCGGCATTTTGCACTTTCATCTTACGCGTAAGTTACAGTCAATTGCAAACTCGGATATAAACCTCTCTGCTGCAATTGCTGGTTCTCAGACATTGCAACAACAAAAAGACACGCAGCCGAATTTGGCTTCAACATCTGGCGGCCATCGTGAGAACTGGGGAGAGTCCAACATGGGTGATGGAAGCCCTGATACTTCAACAGATGACACAGAAGACAAAAATCAAATGGTGATTGCTTTACTTTAATAAAACTGTTTATTGAACAGTCAAAATCATGTTTTTTATGAACTCTGAAAATATTTTTCTTCATTATTATTTTGCAGGCTGAAAGAGGAGAATCAAGTGAAAGATCTAAAGATAAATCAGATCAAAAGGTTATATAATTAATTATATTCACATAAACAAAAACATTTGTTACTATATGTTAAATTTTGCTTTCATTCAGACGTTAAGACGGCTAGCCCAAAATCGCGAGGCTGCCAGAAAAAGTCGACTGAGGAAAAAGGTACAAGCCTTTTTTTTCTTCTGTTAACTGTACTAAATTGTTTCTTCTGCATGCAATTCGGTTAGTAATTTTCAAATCCTTCTTTCCGTTCATTCAGGCATATGTGCAACAATTAGAGAGCAGTAGGCTGAAACTGACCCAACTGGAGCAAGAGCTACAGCGAGCACGCCAGCAGGTTTGGTTTTGCTATTTTGTCATTCAAAATCTGATACTTAACTATTTTAAGCCCTCTTTCTTTGTGGCTATTGTTTATCTGGTCATGTTGCTATATCATGTAATGATTTGGTTATTAATATTTTCTAGGGGATTTTTATTTCAAGCTCTGGAGAGCAGGCTCATTCGATGAGTGGAAACGGTATTAATTTTCTTTTGCCTCGAACTATATGCTGAAAGCAGTTGGCAGCACGGGTGATCACGGCCTCATGGGCAAAGTTTTACGGTAGTTTGTGCTGTGTTTCGGAACCTGAATTGTGTTAATGATCTTGATGTGCAGGCGCAATGGCGTTTGACGCAGAATATGCACGATGGTTAGAAGAGCATAATAGGCAAACCAATGAGCTAAGGGCTGCAATAAATTCTCATGCGGGGGATATTGAACTCCGTACCATTGTGGACAATTTCATGACTCAATTTGAAGATATCTACAGGCTGAAAGGTGTTGCAGCAAAAGCTGATGTTTTCCACATTCTATCAGGAATGTGGAAGACTCCAGCTGAGAGGTGTTTCATGTGGATTGGAGGCTTTCGGTCATCCGAACTTCTTAAGGTGAAAATTTTCTCATTTGTCTATTCTTCTTGAGGTTTATTTCTTTTTATCACGTTATGCCGATCTCAACCTGGATTTCCATTGTTGCAGCTTCTTGTAAGTCATTTAGAGCCTTTAACAGAGCAACAATTAATGGGCATCTACAACTTGCAACAGTCATCTCAACAGGCTGAAGATGCTCTTTCCCAAGGAATGGATGCATTGCAGCAATCACTTTCCGAGACTTTGGCTAATGGTTCGCCCAACCCATCAGGTTCTTCTGGAAACGTGGCTAACTACATGGGCCAAATGGCCATGGCCATGGGAAAGCTCGGTACTCTCGAGGGCTTTCTTCGCCAGGTAATTAGTTCTCTTCTTTATACCAGTCTATTCCTTTATCTCAACTTTCATCTCTTAGGAGGCTGGTCAGCGTGTCAGACATGTGTCATTGATTCATTACAACTTTACTTTTTTCTTCATGATTGTAGGCTGATAATCTGCGGCAACAAACATTGCAACAGATGCTTCGAATATTAACAACGAGACAATCAGCTCGAGCTCTTCTTGCAATAAGCGATTATTTCGCCCGGCTACGAGCCTTGAGTTCTCTATGGCTTGCGCGGCCAAGGGAGTAAACTGTCTCAAAGCTCTAAGCCTGACCTGTTAAAAGATTGATCATATATATGTCTTCCACGTTCGGCATGAAACCGGTGTCTTTTGGCAAATGAAATCCTATTGTAAACATTAGATACTATGATTTTTCTACTTGTGGTACAACATTTTTCATTAAGCTTGTTGTATGCTTTGATAAATAGTGTTGAATAATTTGATTATATAGGTGTATGATAGATAGAGTTGAAGGTGAAAAATGTAGAAATAGGTTAAAGTTGTTCATTGTATTTCAGAAATCAAGCTTATTTGAGGATGATTTCCTCTCTTTATGATGGTCTGTTGTTGGTTGCACAGTGGTGTATGTATGTATATATACTCTTTTTTTTCTTGTGTTGTATTGGGAAGATATTGTTGACTAGTAATTTAATGTGTCTCAGTGACAAATATTTGTATATTGTTATGTTGTCTACTTGTTTTTTTTTTGAGATGAAATTGGTAGTAGCATCTTTTGAAGATGCATTTCAAACAAAAAATATATGTGACAGGATTGTAGGAAAAAATTTACATGCATGTTCATATGATTTGTTTGTTTCTCATAGGGTAAAAATGGTTAAGTTTAGTTATGTTTGAGATTTTCTGTATCTGTGCCAACCATTGTTTGGTCCAAGTGATAAGAGATTTAAACTCTTAAAACAAGTGACTAGGAGTTTGAGCACTTGCTAACTTTTGCGAATGGAGAAAGTTGGTTGGTCGAGGAGGGTATTTTTTTTTTTATATATTTCTAAAAATGATTTTTATAAACTTATTATTTATTTATAGATTAAAAGAATAATTTTAATATTAAATGATATAAATATATACTATTAAATTATTAAGATTATGACATAGTTAAAAGAGATTAATTAGAATACACGGTCGATATAAAATTATTTTACACTTATTTTACACTGTCATTTAATTAGAGTGAAAGAGATTAATTGAAATACAATTTTACAGTGTAATCTAATTAGAGTGAATTATTTTGACTAATGAGAAGAGAGAAACAAGAAAGTAGTTATTAAAATAATTTAATTATAATTTAATTTTTTTGTTTTTAATTCTATAATTATGTGTCAAAATGATTCATTCTAATTGGATGACAGTGTAAAATAATTTTACACTCACATTGTATTCCAATTAATCTCTAGTTAAAATTAATAATTTTTTAAAATGATATATCTAAAAATTGATTTTTTATAAACGGTTATTCAAAACAATTTTAAATTTAAGTTATTTTTTTAATTTTAATATTTAAAAAAGTTGTAGAAAATAATAAAATATTTAAAATAATATTTTATAAATAACAATTTAAATTATTTTTTATTAAAAAATATCTAACACTACAAAAAAAATCAAACTAATCTTAGGTAAGACAACGGAGCCGGGCGGGCCTAATTTAAGTATAGCGGAGCGAGCCTAATTTAAGTATTATCAGTCTTGGTTCCGCCTCTTTAAACCACCGCCTGGATCGCTTTAGTTGGAGTAACAAATGACCACTCACTCCTATCTATAATGAAGAATGGATTTTTCTACCCGCACTCATTCGTAAAAATTATATATATATATTTTTAAAATGCATTCTTTTTTATATAAAATAAAATCAATAATTAAATTAAATATTTGACCATTTTAATAATAATTATAATAAATGATCATTTTATTTAATCTATATTTAAAAAAATAATCAATTATAATAAATTTATATATTAAAATTAAGAAAAATAGTTTTGTAAAATTATTAAAATAAATATAATAAAATAAATTTAATAGACTAAGACAAAGGCGGAGTGGATGCATTACTGATACTAGCATTTCCTGCCTCCGTAATTAAAAATTGGGTGTTTTTAATCCATTGTCAATTAAATAAGATTTTTCTCGTTAAATTTGTAAGGAATTTCTTAATACATCTTTTATGATTCTTAGTTACTACGCAAAAATATTTAAATGCTTTCAAATTTCGGAAATGTATCTCTAGACGCACTCAAGTCTCAGTTAACATTAATATATTTTGGAGATGCGTCTTTAAACTTATTTTTGAGATGCATTTTTGGAATATTTTGGAGATTAAATCGCAGTAGAACCCTTGTCTTTCGTTATTTCTCATATTTCTCAAAACCTCTTCAAAATCTCTCAAATTTTTCTCATCACCAAGTCAAAAATCAAACAATAAAACTCAAGTGAACTTCAATCAACATCAGAAACAACATCCAATACTGAAGCAAAGTTGAAATTTATAAGTTTTTTTATGATTTGATAAGTTTTTGAGTTTTTGTGTAAATGAGTTGAAATCGATGATTAAGGTTAGAAATGAGTAGAAATTGCATGTATGATAGTTTAAACATAATGTAAAACACGGTTGTTGGACGAAAAGGATGATCAAAACATTTTTTCTAATGGCATGTGTACATTCGCGCCATTGACACAATTTTAGTTGCAGAAAATTTCAGAGATGCATCTCCGAAATTTCTCAGTGTTTTAATTACCTAGCAACCAAAGACGCATCTTCGAAATTTTCATGTTTTTTTTTAAATTTTCTTGCTTGTGGTTTTGTTTGCTTGCGCTAATTGTTTGCTTTACTTTAACTTACAAGCATAGTTACTTATAGACACGATAAAGTGAGGCACGAGAGGGTTGCAGAACACGCATCAATGCGGCGGGAGAAGAGTCAACAAGTTTTAGAGGCTCATGGTCCCTCTGGCCATGCTGAGCCATCTACTTCTAGGGATCATGCTTCTTCATCTTCTCCTTTCCATAGGAGACGGGTTTCACCTACCGACGCATCACTCCTCCATTCTTTCGAAGGAGTCAGGTTTCACTTATTCAGGCGCCTGAGGTACCCGAGTCGCTAGTAGTATCAGAGGCACCAATGTCACCTCTTATTGTTGATGTTAAAGGTGCTTATGAGCCAGTGCCACCTCCTACTGCTGATGCTGCTGAGCCAGTGCCACCTTCAAAGGGTGAGGTTGTTACGAATGTTGAGCCAAAGGCATTTGGAGGAGGCCTGTAGATTTGTCATTATTGCCTTTGTACCCAGACCATACTTCCAAACATATATGGGATGGAGAGGTAGCATTAATCATATTCATTCTTTTTTATTCACGTTTATTTTAATTGATAAGTTTCTAACACTGTTTTTTTTAAATTTTTTTCAAGAACATGATTCGCTGAAGGACTTATGCATGACCGTTTATACTACGATCAACCATGGGATGCTTAATGTATTCGTGGAGAGATGGCACTCATAGACCTCTTCATTTCATCTCCCGCTTGGTGAGATGTTTATCACACTCGACAATGTCTCGTGTTTGCTATATCTTCCGATAAGGGGGAGACTTATATATCATGTAAGGATTACCAAAGACGAAGTACTCGAGATGATGATAGACTATATTGAGGTTGATCTGGCAGAGGCGAATGAGGAGTTGGATAGAACCACGAGTGCTCATGCTAGGTTTGAATACCTAAAAAAGGTATACACAGTTGAGATCCTGAGAGCACAGTAGGATACAAGTGATGATGAGCAGGTGGTGCTCTATATATCGTATGTTATAAGAGCATACCTGCTATATTTGATTGACACTGTGATTTTTGTGGACAAGAGTGTCACTTATACAAATGGCGTCTACCTACGGTACTTCGAGAATTTTGAGCAGATCCATGAGTACAATTGGGGGGCCGCTTGTTTAGTCTACCTGTACTCAAAGTTATCAGAGGATTGTATGTGAAAGGCGAAGCACCTCACAGGTAGCATCACACTACTGACAATAATATTTATTGGTCTTTTAATGTTTATGTGTCATTTTTATTTCATCTTTGCAAAACCATTATTGATGATTCGTGTTTTCCAAAATTTTCATTTCAGACTTGGAACCTCCAGCACTTCTCGCGCTACTACTTTTTCCCCGCTCAGAGGGAACTAGGCGACTGAGCCTTTCAGAGTGTATCTTAAACATTTGGTTGTCGAGGACATGTGCCGCAACTACGAAAAACACCTAGCGAAAAAAATAGAAGTGTCACCACCGAACGTTATTTATCCCATTGGGAGAAAGGAAACGATCAAATAAAACCTCAAAGAACAAAGGGAGATGACATGATCATCGCAACCAAGAATTGGGTTCGAGAGTCGATTACGCGAGAGGAATGTATTAGCATCCCCTCGCGTCTGTTATACTCAACGAGATCCATGCTTGTTGTCTAATCAAAGAGTGTGTTATCTAAAGCCTACTGCTAAACAGAAATGAAAAGGGAAAAATATGAAAAGAGACTCGATAGGACTTCGCCGTCCTACGCCTACATATTCCATCGTGCAATGGGAAAGCCAGAGTCAACGTAGTTCGAAAAACAACGGGTGATGGGGGGAAGGTTGCTCGCCAAGACATCGTTGTCTTGTGCCTACGTATCCTCATCTGGTATGAAAAATCAGAGCAACCGTAGTTCGGCTCACCACAGGTTGCTTAGTATTTTTTATGAGTGACATTAAGTTCCCATTCCAGCAGTTAGGGTTGATGTCTGTTTGCGGTAGACGGAAAAGTAACGTACTTTTTCTGAAAATGATTTGACACACGATTCCAAAGGATGAAATGGTTTAAGTTTGTTTGTGATTTTTAGAGAAATTAATTGACTTTATTTGGAATATGCATCACCCTAAAGTCTATGACGTAGGGTCGAATACTCCGTGCTAACGATCCAAGCGTCTCACGCACAAAGTATCTTAAGATGAGGTTAGAAATTTACCCGCTCATTTTTTCCCATGTACTTAAGGCTCGTGGAATACAATGCACATTATCTTTATTAAGTGTTTTGATGTTGTTTTAAGAAAGAGGATAAAAAGAAGCACATAAGGTCTAAGGGGAAACTCGATCCTAACACTGTCGTGTAAAATAACCCTAAGGTTGGGATGCGGAAGGAAATTCTATCCTAATGTTAGCATGCAAAAGGTGGACCTAAGGGTGAGGTTAAAATGGACTAACCTATTGTTATCATG